GCCTTGACATGTTGTTTAAACGTGTTGGAGCGGCTCCCTGCTTGTCTCGGCAGACTTATTAATGCTCTTTAACAAAGATACTTCTACCGGTCCGTCCATTTATCACCGTTCTCTCGTGATAATGATACTGTGATTTATTTCCACCGCTTTCATCTGACTGTAAGATGTCAGGTAAGATATGTGACGTAATTTACACCTTCGTTGTGTGCCCAAGTAAGTGTTATTATTAGTGTTGTGTCAGAGGTCAGATATAGATAACCAACTAGCTGCGTTGTCTTACTTAAGTAGACCTCCTTTCTATTTTGTGTGACGGTAGAAAGTAAAAGAAGGCATCTCATGATCCTTCGTTGTGTGTGTGTTGGGGGTATGAACTGTCAAAATGAGCTAAGAATATCGCATGACGCCACTCACTGTTACCGGATGTGCGTTCTTCAGGAGATAATCGGCCAGCACAACTTCACACTCTTACATGGAGCATTTGTTTAAATGTTCGTACAGTACTATTGGATATGTTGCAGGGGGCGGATCCAGGAATATCAAAAGGGAGGCTCAAGAAATTGTGGGTGGTGGACCATGGAGAGCACAGCGAGCCCACCCAGGTGGGAGGGGGGGGGGGGTTATGAGCCTCCTGGAAAGTTTTTGAAGTCTACCAATAACATGGGCATCTTGAGGCCATGTGCACTTAATATTAGATATTCTGTGGTCAATAATAATTACTTTTTCTACTAAACAAAAACGCCTGAGTACAATACTGCATTAAAGAAAAATTAATGGAATTTTCTGATGAAAAGGGGGTTCCTGGACCCCCCTGGATCCGCCCCCGTGTTGTGCAGTGAAAAGGTGATAAATAAGGCTGCAAGTGCATATTGGTGTTATGGAGATGGTAACAGTGATCAGAATACGACACAAATAATATTTATTTCATTTGTTTTAGCTGTTGTGTTCCAGAGCCAAACAGAAGAAATATTAGTGAGCTGATATTAAACATGAGGTAGTTTGTGTACAACACTCAAAATTTCCTCTTTTCTTATCTATTTCCGTTTCCAGTATATAATATTGATCATAAAAATTAATTATTTTTCAATAAAATAATCTTGTGTAGAAAGTGAATATTTCCACGGTACGTACAGTACATTTATTTCTCTTTCCACTTCTGGCAGTACTCGACGCTCTAACTTAAGATGCAGCTGAGCGTGTGAATGTTTTTTGATATCCATAAACTAATCTAGGAAAAATAGTTTAATTCTCATTTAACAACAGCAAAGAGTTCGCAGATATATAGAGACCCTAATTTTTGACCGACAGTTTAGAGACATAAAAATAATGTTAAATTTTGCGGACCATTAAATTTATCTAATCATTAAGCGGCCAGTGTTATTATCTATGGCTACACCCACAGTACGATGACCAGTGTTGGAAAGGTACCAAGAATACGATGGTTTAAACCTTATAAATTTCTTGAAAGGAGGTGACAGGTATCTAACTTAACAATATTGTTTTAAGTTTAGTTTAGTTGGTTTGTGACTGGAAGTACAGAGCTTGGTGATTCTGTTCGTGGTACTGTATTTATCTTCAACATTGGCCATCCCCCCTCCCCCACTTCTCGTCTCCCAGCTCCACGCCTGACTGTCAGGTGTTATCGTGCAGGCCACCAGCGAGGGGGAGATTGATGGAATGAGTTTTAAAAATGGCATAGAGTTATGGGTGTATAAAAAGCCACTGCACTCTACTTACTACATGCTTGTGAATTAAAAATAAAATGGGGTATGTCATTATTTTCATTTATTATTATTATTATTATTATTATTATTATTATTATATTAATTAAAATTAATCTAAGTGTTGTTGTGGTGGTTTGATCAGCTCGAATTCACAACAATGATTTATTGGTAAGGGTCGAGGTAGTGTCAAACGTGAGCTCGGATTCACTGAGTTGAAACGGTCATTTCAGTCAAAGCAGGACTGTTGAGGTAGCTAGACAGACCAGGCTGCAGGGTGTGTGTGTTCGTTTGCTTTCTGGTATGCAGACGTAAACAAGACAGACGTCACGTAGTGTGGAGTAATCACATGGCGGGTGGTAACAGCACTAGCCTTAATCTGGAGAATCTTCTTGTCTCCATGTCTGTCTACCAACCAATATTGTGTTCCTGAGGAGAAAAGCCGTCTCTCTTCCTGAGCAGAGTAGCATTGTGCGTGTTCCTGAGCAGAGGAACATTGTGTGTATTCCTGAGCGGAGGAGGAGGAGTAGTGTGTGTGTTCCTGAGCAGAGGAGCAGTGTGTGTTCCTGAGCAGAGGAGCATTGTGTGTGTGTTCCTGAGCAGAGGAGCTGTGTGTGTGTTCCTGAGCAGAGAGCATTGTGCGTGTTCCTGAGCAGAGGTGTGTGTGAGCGGAGGAGGAGGAGTAGTGTGTGTGTTCCTGAGCAGAGGAGCAGTGTGTGTTCCTGAGCAGAGGAGCATTGTGTGTGTGTTCCTGAGCAGAGGAGCTGTGTGTGTGTGTGTGTGTGTGTTCCTGAGCAGAGGAGCAGTGTGTGTGTGTGTGTGTGTGTGTGTTCCTGAGCAGAGGAGCAGTGTGTGCGTGTGTGTTCTTGAGCAGAGGAGCAGTGTGTGTGTGTTTGTTCCTGAGCAGAGGAGCAGTGTGTGCGTGTTTGTTCCCAGAGGAACAGTGTGTGTGTGTTCCTGAGCAGAGTAGCATGTGTTCTGAGCAGAGGAGCAGTGTGTGTTCTGAGCAGTGTGTGTTCTGAGCAGAGCATGTGTGTGTGTGTGTTCCTGAGCAGAGGAGGAGGAGGAGGTGTGTGTGTTCCTGGAGCAGAGGAGCATGTGTGTGTGTGTGTGTGTGTGTTCCTGAGCAGAGGAGCAGTGTGTGTGTGTGTGTGTTCCTGTGTGTGTGTGTGTTCCTGAGCAGAGGAGCAGTGTGTGTGTGTGTGTGTGTGTTCCTGAGCAGAGGAGCAGTGTGTGTGTGTGTGTGTGTGTGTGTGTGTGTTCCTGAGCAGAGGAGCAGTGTGTGCGTGTTTGTTCCTGAGCAGAGGAGCAGTGTGTGTGTGTGTGTGTGTGTGTTCCTGAGCAGAGGGCAGTGTGTGCGTGTGTGTTCCTGAGCAGAGGAGCAGTGTGTGCGTGTGTGTTCTTGAGCAGAGGAGCAGTGTGTGCGTGTTTGTTCCTGAGCAGAGGAGCAGTGTGTGTGTGTGTGTGTTCCTGAGCAGAGGAGCAGTGTGTGTGTGTGTGTTCCTGAACAGAGGGCAGTGTGTGTGTGTTCTGAACAGAGGAGCAGTGTGTGTGTGTTCCTGAGCAGAGGAGCAGTGTGTGTGTGTTCCTGAACAGAGGAGCAGTGTGTGTGTGTGTTCCTGAGCAGAGGAGCAGTGTGTGTGTGTTCCTGAACAGAGGAGCAGTGTGTGTGTGTTCCTGAGCAGAGGAGCAGTCATTCCTTAACTTGTGTGGACTGGTGAAGCAGTGACCGGGAGAATAAGGTATCCAGAGAAAGACTGGGGTACTTTGACCTGGGGGAGGGGGTGTCATATGGGGACGACCGGAGGAGTATCCACAACGAGACAGAAAAGAGTGAACCATCAACTATTTCGAAAATAGTTTGTAACGATTTGTCATAGAGGATTATTCATGTTAGTGCATTTAACATCAAATTATAGTTATTTTGTAGGGTGTTTGTGATACTAATGGTAGTGGTCTCTTAAATGTTAATTATTCTTTACCTTTAAATCTAAGTGTATGTTTGACATTATATCTCGCTTCATAATGTGAATTATTCAGTAGTTCACTCTCATACTTAGTAACAACTCGGTGCTAAATGGTGACAATAATTAATTTTAAATAAAATAATAATAAAGCAATCAGAATTATCTCCTTAACTCTTATCCCCTTCACTACGGGGACGCCGCTTTTAATAATGTATTTGGCAAACGTCAGACAATTTTATTCAACTCGGGGCCCGTACGCAAGGGGTTAGAAGAGTCTCCGCTAAGAGGATTTAGAGAAAAAGAAAAAATATAGAAATAAAGAAACCTAGGACAGAGAACGGATGAAGGTGAATAATCTGCAAAGAGGACTAAATAATTTGAAAGTGGATGGTAGGCATGCGTTGGAGAGAAGAGGAGAAAGTTGGAAGCATAGGGTGTAGGCCACTCTAGAAGTGAAAGGGGTGGACATCCAGGACGTAACGATATGCGTGAATGATCGGGAAAGGTCATGTTGATGGTGAGTGTGGTCAGCATGGTTTACCAAGAGAGAGATTACCATACCAGAACACAGCTGATACGGCAATAAGAGTGACTGAATATATAACGTATATATATAACGTGGCCTCCAGCCTCCCCCAACAGCCACACCTTCGCCGCCATTTTATTATCTTAAAAATTAAATATCCTAATACACAAGTAGCTATCCTAGCTATGTTGAATTAGTGGAGCCGCAGATCTATGCGGCATTCAGTGACTGTAGCCTCATAGTGATTGAGTAACACCAAATGTAGGAGGAGTGTTAACAACTGTTAACGTGTGGTTATAGATTGAATAAGATTAAATTTGTATATTCCGAACAGCATGTAGTGTAGGCTCATTTATTGTGTAAATATTGTGTTTTAAGTTCCCATGCCACCCAAAGCCATAAAACCTTGACCATGGTCAGTCTGGGGAGCACGTTGTGGTTAAACTGTATAATAGTCCTCTCATCTTTAGCCTTGTTCATCATTCAAGCTCACCACCAGCCAGTTGTTTCCGCCAGCTAGTGTTAGGGGGGAAAGCCTCTGGGTAATGGGAGAATGTTTCCATTGGTCAAGGTAGTGGCTATAGCGTAATGTACAGTAGCTGCTCAAGAACTCTTGTTTTTCTTGGACAAGTTCCGCTATGTTTCCACCAGCAAAGCATTTGGGGAAAAACCATGGGACTTACCAGGCATAACTGTAGGCCAGTCTCAGGTCACGTATAGCTGTACCTCTTTCCTGCAGGTCTTGTTGCTCTTGGGTGATGTTTAAATTCCTCTCTGTCTGCCCATCAGTAAGTGTCAAGGAGGGCAGCTGTTGTGCGATACCGATCCTTGCATGATCGATGAGCAGGTAATTGAGAATGTGAACCGAGGCCAGCGTCAGTACACCTGGAGGGCCAGCAACTACTCCGCCTTCTGGGGAAGGAAGGCCCGCGACGGCCTATTGCTTCGTACTGGCACACACAACCCTGAAGCCCTGGTTAGTTATTTCCTTTCATATATATATATATATATATATATATATATATATATATATATATATATATATATATATATATATATATATATATATATATATATATATATATATATATTCTAGACTGATGACTCTTGGCAAACTGAACATATTATGGGAAGATAGTTATATAGGGTGATTGCACACAGTTAGAGGGACACCTACAAAAAATGTAATTATGAAACACACAAGCACTTGATGCGTGAAAATCAAGACTCGCTAAGCCTCTGTTTTCCCCAAGGGGAGATGGGTGGAGGCTGCTTAGTCAAAGTTTTAATTCGTTGTCATAAAATCTAGATCTTAATCATTTCCTATGTAGTTGACAGCTAATTGTGGACTTTGTTAGGCATTCCTTTGACTCGTTAACTTTGTATTTAACAATTCCTTAGCGACTAATTTTATAACTGCTGTCATTGGGTAACTGTTAAACTCGATCCCCTTCTCACAGTTCACATTACTTTTAAAAGAACCTACTCATAATTATGAACAATCACGCGGCAGGTAAGACATTTACATGGCAATAACTGAGACTTACAAAGTTTGGTCATAATTTTAGTTCTGGGAACACTACATTGTTATACGACCCTCTCCGCTACACCCAAACACATACAACCGCATTACACCATGAAACGAGTGAATGTACACCATTTTAACTCTCGTTAAACTCGATATTTCTTGGGTCAGATGACAGGAAGTTTGTCTAGGGTGTTATGTGAAAAAAAATTAATTAAAAAAAATCCTCCTGTTATAAATTATTTACTGTAGGATTTATAAATATCTATATTATCATTACCTACATTAGTTTTCCTTTAAAATATAATTAAAATGCAAGTAACCGCTTCCTAGTTAGTATAGAAGAACATCCCAACGGCAAGTATCCACATAAACTAGTGCTTGTTAGTACAAACATGCCTCCCTCCTAGATAAAATAAACAAATCCTCCTGGTTTGTTAATTAAGCCTTAGGTTCCTGTTACCTTGTATGAAATTTCATATTTGCAAGCATAAAAACACTAACTACTAACCAGTTCTCTGTCAACAGTCGATGAAGATGTACCCCATCTTGCTGAGGCCGGAGTTGTCTCGCATCCCCAGCCGGTTCGATGTTCGGAACAAGCGTGATTGGCGGGGCCGCGTGAGTGAAGTAAGAGATCAGGGGTGGTGTGGTGCTTCCTGGGCCTTCTCCACTCTGGGCGTCACTCAGGACAGGTGAGTTGCTAGGTCGTATGAATAACCAGAAGTGATGTAATGCCTCTTGGACTATCTTGGTTGTCAGTCAGATTGATGAGCGAGGAAACCTACTGTTCACCTTCACCTTGTTTATTATCACATGGATACATTTTTAAAGTTTTCTTGCTCGCCAAGAAAAGGTGGACTAATATTTCAGGGTGGTGTAATTATGTACTGTATCTGATGAGTAGAGAAGTTAGGTAAGATTCAGGAGAAGGGAGGGGCTGCATGTAGGCCTGCACATTATTAAGATGATGTTGATATTACAAAATTCTACCTGCGTTTTGAGTTCCTCTCATGCAATTCCGCCAGATACACTCTTTTGCCTTGTACTTGTAATGACTTTAGTAAACTAAAGGGAGATTGTGAATGTTGAGATTTGATAAGCACTTAAAGAATAAAAGGAATATCATGACTACCCCTTCCTTCCCAAAGGTTGTCCATCGAGTCTCTGGGTAACGAGACGGTGACGCTGGCACCTCAACACCTCCTCAGCTGTGACAGACGCGGCCAAAGCGGCTGTAACGGCGGACACGTAGACAGGGCTTGGCAGTACCTCAGGAAGTTTGGGTGAGTCGGTCTCTTCCTTACTCAACATGTGTTACTTCCTTCACTTACTGCCTGTATTTTTCTTGTTTAAACACACACAATCTATTGAGACGCACCACCATTAGTTCTTTCGTGTGCAAATATGATACTTTTGTTGATATTTGTCTGTTTTTCTCAGAGGTACTTGGAAGCACTACTGACGGAAAACTTCATCGATGGTAAAAATCGATAACCTCCCTGTGAATCCCTTTCTTCCATTGACCGTTTATTGAGGCTTCAGTTACGTTACCATATTTCAGCCTTAACCATTGCCCCTCACACCCTCTATGCAGTATTCTAATTTACTTTTATCCACACCCACTTTTTCCAGGATGCTACCTGTCCTTTTCTATACAGAGAGAAGGGTTCGGATCGAAATACTCTGTCGACCTTACTGGTCTTGTTCCTCTCTCTATATGGTATATTTTGGCCTCTTTTTTTACAACTTACTCCTCTGTTTCGGGAAGCTCCCCAAGACCTCCATTTGGACAAGGATTCCCACCTTATTCCTAAGTTCACCCCCCGCTGGTGTCTCGGGGGGAACAACTACACATTCACGTTAGAATAAAAGGGACCCTCCCTCCCTGACCCCTTCATCTGTTTGTCCTGATATGTTGAGTTGTTTTGGTTCTGGAAAGTCAGTTGCGCAATTAGATGTTTGCAACGTGGTACGTTGTTATTTCTTGCATAACTTAATTCTACAGGTATTAGAGAGTGAGTGTACCATCAATTACTGAAAGAATATCGAGCTAAAACTCACTCATTGTTCTTTTTTCACGAGGAATAAGACTAATATTGTCATTTGTCCATCAGTTGTCAACTACAGTTAATTAACTTGTTCCATCTTTATTAAGACATAGGACATAATATTTTATTATATATCAAATCCCTACACTTAGCTAATACTGCGGGAAGGATCGCCTCACTCATACACTTGTACCATTATTATGATTAATACTTACACAGTACTGTGGGTGGAGTCCGTACCACCAAGCACTGAGCACAGCGGAGTAATTGACGACAGAGAAGGAGGTTGGCATGACCAATTATGTAACAATTATGTTCGATTGGAGTTATAAACATGAGACCAATCTCTGCCTTTGTGTGGGAATATTTGTGTTTTATGGGCGTGGGTAGTGGGCAGTTATATGTGGGCGGCCCTGGGCTTGTAGGCGATCCCTTATCATTATATCCTTTTCACCAGTGATCGGCTTGTTAGCCGCTTGGGCGGTATATCACTTTTTTTAAAGGATTTGTTGGAATATTACCTACGCGGACCTTAAGCTAAAATGCTGGTCCACCCACTGCTGGGGTAAAACACCAGCATCTTTTTAGTTAACTGTACATCTCCCCCAATAACTTGAGGGTGGATGCCCGGTTCTGTAGAGTTTCTTGAGAGAGGTTGATGGTTAGTCTTTTGGCAACCTTCTCTGCTGTGATACGGGGTTGTATGTTTCTCCTAGCAAATTGTGTTCCAGGGCACTCTATGAGGTAGTGCTGCAGTGAGTTTTCTGCTCCGCTGTCGCAGGTCTTGCACATGCGTTGCTCTGCTGATTTCCAAATGCATGGTTATCTCAGTCTCAGTCGATGGAAGTTGACTTCTTCCCTTCTTGTTATATACTTCATGAGTGATGGTCTCTCATAATTCGTGACCAGATAGTACCACCTGGCCAATCGTGATACTGGTGTTAATCTTATATATTTGTCTATTTTCCACTAGGCAGTTCGTGTTATTGTGGTCTTCTTTATTTGCTCCTGACTGGGCGGGATGCTCATCTCAATGTTTCGCTGTCCTAACGCAGACTTGGCAGCAGTATCAGCTCGTTCATTCCCTGGAATTCCGATATGACTGGGCACCCAGTTAATGATAACTTACCGATATTGTCCTAACCCTTGCAGTAGACCAACAATAGATGTTATGAGATGAATGTTGTCTCGGGGATCTCTGCATTGTAATGCTTCAATAGCACATCGTGAGTCGGTGTGGTTTACAACGCCTTGTTGACTGTTTATGGAAGCGTGTCTTAGGGCTCCAAGTATGGCAGCTAGCTCAACTTGCAAAGTGGAGCATCCATCTGAGGTTCTCCAAAGGGACGTGTTACCTCTTTCTATGGTGAAGGCTGCTCCTGTTTTCGTACTGGTGGGCTTTACGGAACCGTCTGTGTAATGCACTGTACTATTGTTTGGTGTTAGAGCCTTCATGTTTCTCTGCCACCTGTCGGAGCTTATGTGGGTTAGAGTCGGCCTTTCTTACCCAGTTTGTAGAATGTTGAAGACTGCTGACGGGGACTCCCACAGTGCTGCGGTGTTCTAGTCTGGACTCATAGTATCAGGTCGTTTACTGAGGATTGTTTTATTCAATTCCAGTCGATTTACAGCGTCAGCTGCGCAGAATAGCCATGTTTTCTTATTGAAGGCAACTTTGTTAAGGTTCAGTGCTCTTAAGAGTCCATTCTTGATGTCACTTTCCCGAGCACTGGTAATCAGTTTTGTTGCAAAGCACGCTGTTAATCGTTCCGTCCTGGTTTTGAGAGATGAGACCTGTCTCCATGTGTAAGTTTTATTTTTTTTCCCACATTGGTACCTTGACAATGACTCTTAGCGTTATTCTGGGCAACCTCCAATTTCTCCCACTGCCTCGAGTGTATTAAGAGCCGGTGTCGTAGTCTGTTAATGATCGAATGGCGTGTATACATAAAACGTTCATAGGACTGCATGTCCCACATCCACCTTGGGTCCTCTGAAGCCAGACACAAATATGCGTACCTTGTTGACCGGGGTGTCAAGGTCAAACTGTTGTGGATCCCCTCTCACATAGGCCTCCTAAAACATGACAGAGTTGATGCCCTCGCCAAACTCGCGTCTAATAAAGACACCGTTGAATACAATTTGGGTCTGTCAAAAAGAACCCTTAAAACTTTAATTAGGAAAGAACTTATTGATGAATTTGACGCAAGTAGACTAGTGCAAACAGGCACTAGTCGATCCATAGTTTACCATGATGAGATGTATCAAGTGAAACATGTATATAGAGCAAGTAACAAGATCACTAGATTACAGGATGATGTAACCGCTAGATTGAGGTTAGGATATAAGTACCTCTGGCAGTATGTTCCTCAATCAGATGTAAACAAGACTAAATGTAAAGTGTGTGGCCAGACATATAGCCACACACTTGAACACTACGTCCTCGACTGTGTGAAGATAGAACCTTTTAGGGACAGGTCCAAGCACACTGTGTGTGAAATGGCACAACACTTCATCTCTAATGGCAAGATAGCCGTCATATTGAGATTGTATCCACTTTTTTGCACTTAGTAACTATATCAGTTCTCATGTATAGAACCAAATACACAATGTGCTTGAATACTTCTCACGCAAATGTGAATAACAAAGTGCGCGGCCAGACATACTGCCTCACACGCCTGTACTCACGCATTTGTGAATAAGTTACCCTTTATGTATAGAACTAAACAAATAATGTAATTGAAATACTGTGTAACAATCAGTGCCATAATATACTGACAACGGGGGTTAATTATTATGACCCGTTGTAAACTTTACTCTGGAATCCTTTTGCGCTTCCGCTCACAGGATGAGTGTGGGGTGCACAATAAAGTAGCCGCTGTAAGTGGCAAAATCAAATCAAATCAAATCAATGTCATAGCTCTCATCATGTCGACTCTCTTGCCCATTCGATCTCTTAGATAGTTTATCTCTGTCAAATTTGAGGCCTTTGTCAATCCAGATGCCCAGGTATTTGTATACATTGAGCCATTGTAGGGCAATACCTTTGTCATGGTTTTGGTATGAATCGGTGGTAGTAGGAGTGGATTATATTATATAAAGATAATAATATGTCGTATTTCTTATTTCTTACCGTAGAGTTCGATACCTTCACACTGATTACTTACATCCATCTAAGTTATTGGTTACACTTTGTCATAACCAGTCAGTCATTACCTTTAGTAATAATATGATAGGATCACAGATACGGGCAGATAATTGCACTTACATTTATTTGTCAAGCTTCCATACAATGATTTACAATTTGCATGGATATATGATTCACTCACGTTCACGCTGTAATAATATTAATCTTCTAAAAGAGGGAATTTCCAACTTGGGGACACATGTGATTACTCTACTGTGGGTATGACTTAACAGAGCCTTAATTCTTCAAGTGATACATTTACTGCCAGCCTGGATTGCTTTGTTACAACCAGGCTTCATCACAAGAACTTCTTTCCACGGCCATAGTACAAAAAGTACTCTTGGGTTACCACACATTGTCTCGCGTCACTGACAGTCACTGTAGACGGTTATCGCGGCAAGGAGAACTGGTAAGCGTGACTTGAATTAACCATTTAGGTGCAATAGACCAGCCTGGATTGCTCTTGTTGCAACCAGGCATCCACACGTGATATTTCCACAGGGATAACAAACCTAGGTTAACACACTTAGTCTCGTGTCGATCACGGTCACTGTAGACGGGTGTCGTGCAGGAGAACTCTGTGAGCGTGAATTAATTAACCATTTACTGTAGGTTTGATAGGCCAGCCTGGATTGCTCTTGTCGCAACCAGGCATTCACACGTGATATTTCCACGGGATAACAACCTAGGTTAACACGCTTAGCCTCGTGTCGACGACGGTTCACAGGACGGAGTGGCGGTGGAGGACTCTGTGTGGTGTCCCCCCCCCCTTTTAGGGGGGAGAGGATGGAGACGACGTCTTAACTAACCCATGGCTCAGGGGATACTCCTTAAAATGAGGTTTTTGGGTGTGAAGCGATGAACAGTACAACACTGTTTCACTGCCCACCCCCCTAAAGGCTGGCTAACATACACTAATTGAAAAATACATGTCCCAGTTATGCCTCGCCGGTCGTCTTATCTCTAGTAAAACAAACTTTGGCGGTGGTTGCGTGGGTAAGCCTAACGCAACCCATGACAACCTTGTATTTGCAGTTGTGTCACCGGCTCATTGTGTCCAATCCTCATGGCTTTCGATTTTAGGATTAATATCTTGAGCCCGAGACTCGTACATTCTTCCCTGATGAGGTCTAGTGCTCTTTGGACTTTGATGATCTGGTTTCTGCCTTTTACTTTAGTACCCTCTTGAAAGGGGAGCCGACATAAATTTTCCATGAGGAGGGAGGAGTTCTTAGTCCAACTCTCGGTATATCACGTACTGGTTCCAAGATGTATCTGTGCCATTGTTGATCAAGTCTGGTCTTAAATGAGCTCACACGCTTTGTCGTCACAGTGCTCTCTGGCAGATTGTTCCAAGAGCCACAACATTCACCTTGTTTTAGGACCTGGAGATAACAAGTTATGTCGCGCTGCTGGGAGACTGGTGGAGTGCCCCAGTTCTTAGATATCTTCGTCGTAAGCACCTCTCCGAGTGCCGGGGAAAGACGGATCTCACCGTCTCTCGTTGGTGCTGAGGGGGTGCCTGCCATAGGACGTCCTCTCCTTCGTGGAAAAAGACGGCCTTTTATACAAGCTTTGAATTGTAACAATTAACGTTAAAATGGTTTTTGCGGCATTTATGACTTAAATTGCTGTACCGCCAAGGATGTTCTTACCACGTTCAATCAATCGATCCTGAAGCTGACAGATGTTCCTGTACCGTTTCACGATCCCCATTGTCGATACTGTACTCTGAAACTTTGTATGTTGCCAAAGGATCCAAATTTCAAGCCTAAGCTAATATCTACGTATATTCTGCCAAGGGTATAATTTTAGTGTTAACATTTGCATAATAGAATAATATTCGCAATCGAACTAAGTAAACCTCTCAACACCGATAGTAATTGCCTGGTGAGGAAATATTTCCAGACAACACAGATTCTAAAGGACAGTATGCATCTTGGCTCTGTGACCTCAGTGGAAAATAACAACAATATTGTAACATGAGCTGCCCACACACCCAGGGCTGCTGTTTATCAAGCCATCAAAGTATTTTATTCATATCTCTTGGTTGGCTACTACAGTCCTTCATTCTAAACATTTTGGGGGGCTGTTTTTACCAATCCTCCAAGATTTTGTATCTCTCTGAGGACCCAATTTTTATTTCATTCATTTACCCCAGTCTCCGCCTTCCCATGGCCCCCGTACCCTAAACTGTTTTGATTAATATTTGTTATTATCCCCTGATCCTTAAATATGTAACCAATGAGTCTCTTTTTTTTCAAGTATTTTTCTTGAAGTTTTTTCTTTATTTAATTCTTTATTTGCTTTCCTGCCAGTGTAACTTATTTTTAACTTGGCTTATAACACCACATTTTAAAGGGCTTTAATATTTTTATGCTACATGCTAAATGTTATAGACTCGATTATGCAGCTTTTCTGCATGATGGTGTGTGGACCAAAACTTTTAGTAGCACATAGGGAGACTTTTCTAATAACTGGGTGAACAAATCTCAGGCCAACAGCCTTCCCAGTCTGAAGTGACTGTATGGGTCCTTGCTGCTCTTTTAAATAGGGTTTTGGTAAGCCATTGACAGTCTTTTTTCATTCACTGGTGAATTTCCTGCCTGGTTATCATTTTCATGACCTCCTTTCACGCTCCTTCAGTGTGGTGAACGAGGAGTGCTACGAGTACGAGAGTGGGCGGACAGGGAAGCTCCCCAGGTGCCGTATTCCACGCAACGCAAACCTCTTCAACCTCCGCTGTTCTGCAAATGACGTTAGTATTGCTGGGCCTCCCTCATCTTGCTTTTATCACTGCGCACGCGCACACACACACACACCACACACACCCACACACACCACACCCACACACACCACACACACACACCACACACCACACCACACACACACACACACACACACACACACACACACACACACACACACTACAGTAGATCGGATGGCTGCTGAAAAGTTAATATTACTATAGAGTACTTGCATTCACCCTAAAGGTTTCGTAAGTTTATTATGATCACAGTCATCCATTTCCTAGAACTGTCCTTTCTCGAATATCTCATTGGTGGTGTTAGCTGCCAAGTCATATCTACAGTACACTCCTTACAACATTGGCAGGATAGTGTTAAGCAGTAGATTCACCTGATGCACCTGTACACTGATGGTTCAAGATATTAGTACTTGTTGTTTAATTACATGATTTTACCTACACTTTACTATGAATCTAAAATACAATCACAATATTTATTAGTCTAGAAAACTTTACTGCTGCAAAATAATAAATCTGAATGTTTTATATACCGGTACAGAATTGTTGTATACTTTCTATTAGCTATAATATCCCAAATTTTAAGTATAATACCTGTGCTTACAGGTTACAGTACAGTACAGTACAGTACAGTACAGGATACTGTATGCATTTCATATAGTTCCAAGCGTCTCATTATTGATATTAGACTCGTAAACGTTTTTGCACATGTCTCGTAGCACTAAACGTTGCAAATTTGATATTCTTTTATTATAACTTATGAATCTTCGTAACACAATGTAAAACAGGATTAAATAGTACCAATCTATTGTCACTAATGGTTAGTTAAAGTACCAATAAATGTGCATAACTGTCAAGATATTCCCATAGTATTAATACCACGTACATTGTCTATACAATATATTTTACCATCATTCTATATATCCTATAGTGTGTATACTTAATACCAAGTTCATTTCAACAATATATAACACCAATACTTTTAATATCAATTCTGTGTAATATTTAAGTGTTATGTTATTAATATTGTACTAGAATCACAGACATATAGTAAAATATAAAGTATGGTACTGTAGTGTTAACTTTGATGTACGTTTGTGTGTGTGTACAGGTGGTGTACCAGAGGAGGAACCTGTACAGGACTGAACCAGCCTACCGCATCTCTGGGAAGGAAGTCGATATTCAGTGGGAGATTCTTACCAACGGCCCCGTCCAAGGTAATGTTCTGTCGTCAGTTGTTTTTGTAAGATGTGTGTCACTGGTGTGTTTTTATTATACGTGTGTGTGTATGTGTGTGTGTGTTTTATTTGTTTGTTTATTTATTTATTTAATGATTCACTTGGCTGAGACAAACCATTACCACACGAACTTAATGAATGTCATACAAAAATGAGAATACTGTATTAGTGTCAGATCGTTACACTGTAAATCCAGTTTTCTTCGCGAAATAATGAATCTACAAATATTCTAAATGACTGCCAGTGATAGTCTGCTAATGCTAGTCTGTCGACGAAAGTGTGTTGTCTATAGAGTGTCTGTGGATTATAATTATTAGAGAACAGGTGTTAAAGTTGTCCTGGTGACCCCAAAGATGGTGATGGCACTATGAAGAAATCCTAGAACTACTATTGTTATCAGCAAAAGCATAGAAGAAGAATTTCTCTCTCTCTCTCTCTCTCTCTCTCTCTCTCTCTCTCTCTCTCTCTCTCAAACGCATAGGTACTGTTGACGGAAAGGCCCTGCGCCGAAGTCCAAAAAGTTCATTCAGTGACCATCCCTCTTCATTTACACCAGAGTACAGTAGTTGATTTACGGTAAAACACGAAAATACTGTCCAAAAATATTATAAAATTCGTATCCGAACTCTATTATCTAAACGGGATGATCAAGATAGGTTTACTTATCACCAATTAGGAGAGAGTATTAACACAGGAAATCAATTTTGGGACGTTATATTTCATGCTTCACTGCTAAATTCAACCTCTTACATATTCACAGCTTTGGGGATATTCACCACACAAACCATTAGGAACTTGTACCCTGGAGTGTTTCACATTACCCGGGGTTATACATATCGTGTGTTATTTAATATTTTACATATAAATTGTGTATTTTATCTTTTTATGGATAAAATATCTTTGCTAGCTATCTCAAGTGTTTTGGATAGCAGACATATTGTAGCTATTTGAAGACAGTAATTTGAAGTCAGTCATTGTAGTAGGTGAATCAGATAGTTTATACCCTGAACAACATAATATTTAACAGTACAATGCACTTTCATTATTCACTCCTCTTTTAAAGGAGTGAACAGTCAAAACTAAATAACTTTACACTTTCTCTTAAGAGATTAAATAGTAAGAATTAATAAAATTTTCATGTAGTAAATTCGTTTTGTATCCTCAGCGATGATGAAGGTGCACAAGGATCTGTTTATGTACCAGAGTGGTGTGTACTCCCACACTCGCCTGACGGGAGAGGAGACGGCCACACACTCTGTCAGGATCATTGGCTGGGGAGAAGATAACACTGTTGCCTCTCCACCAGTCAAATACTGGGTGAGGACCCTACCCCATATTGTTTAAATAAAAAAAATTACATATCCTAATGACATATTGAATCACTGAAAAATTTGGGTGTAGTGGCCACTGCACTATAAGGGAAAATGATCTGTGTTATGCAGTCAGTAAATGTATGTGAATATGTATACAATAGTTTGTAAGTACGGTATTGATTGTGTGGGGTAAAGTTATGATGCATAATATCTTACAAATAATTGGTAGCAGATGGGCAGGGTGTACAGTACAGTACTTTGTTTTAAAGCACCACCAAAATCTGTTTTTCAAACGAGGTGAACAAACCAAAGCTAACTTAATAGTTCAAGGTTAGCTTTACTAAGGTTTAGATTGGCTCTTGCAGTCTACTTTTAAATGAATTTATGAATGGTTTAGCTTCAGCTTGTCCTGCTTGTGAGTACATTCTTATCACTGAGCTCTGTGCTGCTAGTCAGAGATTTATCACTTTTTTTTTTTTGGTGACTAGTGTATTTTTTAGCCTAGAATATGCACTTAAATACCTTATTGCTATAATACTGCAATACATTATAATTTATAACATTAACATTGTGTTGCAGCTGGTGGCCAACTCATGGGGCACTGACTGGGGTGAGCGAGGTTATTTCAGGATCGCCCGCGGTTACAACGAATCCGACATTGAGTCCTTCATCATCGCTGTTCGTGTGCGTCTTGGTGAGTACGCTACAGGAGGACGACGGCGGGCTCTTCGGCGACCAGGGCGCAGGAACTACAGCAACCGTCTCCGAAACTACAGGGCCAAGAACTAATAGCTTATGGGAGCCAGTATACTGTAGTTGTTTAGTGCCTACTTCTTGAATTTTTGCAATGCATCATATATCCTTAGGAGTGATGTATATGTTAATATAGATTACTATAAAGGGTGAAATTTAATAATGTAGTGACTGTATCATAATATTATTTATAATGTATTGCAAATCTAATACCCTTATGTAAGTTAGGTATGAAACTTTTAAAAACCTTTCATTGGTACATTGGTGTAGAGATAAGTTGAACAAAATGTGTGGGACTTGAAGGTACTGTCATCATTTCCTTCACTAATTAAAAGCACAAATAGATATATATTTAAATGAACTAATCCGGTTTATTTCTTATCAACATGAATATTCTTAGTAAGTGTTGATAATATTGTAAATATATCTACTGATAAGAATTTCTCATTCGGATACACTATACCCTCTTTAGTTCGACAAAAAGGGGCACTGGGTCACTCAAATTACCGAAAATACGAATTTATAGAGTTCGAAATATTTTACTCGATAAATTCTAATTTTTTTTGTCCGATTATGTTTGTTTTCTGTTGATTTTTTAATCTTATTCGCATCGTTCAGAAGATAATTCCAACCAACGAACATACTGTACTCAGTTACCATGCCTTGGCTGCCACATAATACTTTATAATTACCTGTATTGTACAGTGGAAATATATTTTTTTTTCTAAATGTACATACAGTAATAATAAAGTAAATAATACAGTAATAAATATATGTAACACTTACATTGTGAAGTGAACTGATAATATGTAGATGATTATAAATCCCGGGAGAACACTAGCGTCCACCCTGCATACTGCACGTGTAGTAAACAACAGGGTGTTGCCATACGTACGGGCATCCATGATGCAATAATAGTTTGCGTGCGGTTTTGTAACCAATTGCATTAATTTAACTTACTAAATATATTGCAAAAATACTCTTTCAAATTTACATTTCCTACAAATCTAAAAAAAAAAAACTGCTAAGCATCTCAATTGTTGAGGTGGCACACCACATAACCTCTCCTGCGTTGGTGACCTGCTCTCAATGATAATAGCAAGACCCGAGATTACATGCTACTAAGACAATTCCCAGAGAGAAGATTTCTTCTTGCATGGACGATTCTCATAAACACAATTCTCAGAAAGACGATTATAGCTAAAAATCGTCCATGCATCACAAATTCTATCTCTATTAGCCATGAACTGTCCCTTTAACCGTTGATTCTTTCCGGGTTAATAGGGCTGGAACATGTTAAAGTATATAGGGTTTGAGTAGCCAAACCCAATTGTCCGTTCTGTATTTATTGAGAAACTATATCATATACAGTTCCAAGTGTATATCACCATAACTTAATCACTGTAGCTATGAGTGTTAAAATGAGGACGGGGGCTATATTAAATAGCTCTTCGAACTACGTCCGGTTGGTGTGAGGGGTTGAGTGACAGTGCCCAAAGCAACCGGCTTTTATATGCTGACCTTAACAGTCATATGGCCGCGCCTCAAGGAACTTACCCATCACATGATGTGACCATGTCACCTCAAAGCCAGTGGAAAGTTACAGAGGGTGATATCATTATATAAACCCAATGTACTGCCCTGACATTTATATAAGAACAAAGGGGCTAATACAGCCAGAATTCTCCAATACCTTGAACTGAAATCAACTTGGAATTTTTCCGGAAAAAAAAATCTCCATTCTGGGTCTGCGAACATGTTTCTGGGGTTGAAAATCATGAGCATTTGCTTGGAAATTTACAAAAAATCTCCAGAAAATCTCTCCATTTTTTTACAGCGGGTCTGGTAGCAAATTCCAAGGATGAAATAATGCATAATTCTGGAAAATTATGGAAGCTCCTTCCAATTCTTTTTCGGGTGAGGGAGAATGAAATAATGTGTAATTCTGAAAACTACATTTTTTAAAGGACTGGGAGCAAATTCCAAGGATGAAATAATGTCCAATTTCCGGAAAATTACAAACTTTTCCAAGTACCCGGGACAATTCCCGGGATGTTGGATTATTCCAAATTTGAGAGTCGTCTCATTACCCGAAAATCTCTCGTTCCCGGAAGATCTCTGCACCAATTATTATAGGATCTTATGAATTGTATTAGGATGAATGAATTGTGGATATACTCATAATATTAATTAAATTAGGAAAAAAATACACCCTAAATTATATTTGGAATGTTTATTGTAAAAATTACCGGAAGATGGGGTAGTTGGGCCATTGCAGGGGTGATTGGACTTTGTTTGGAAATGTTTTGCTTCAAAGTCCTGAAAATGTTTGTAGATACTTACTTTTGTCGATTCAGATTTATTTAGAATATACCAATGGGCCATAGTGTTTCCCAACTTGGAATATGTAGTTATTTTACTTTTGCTTTTTTTTGCAGTACAACATCGTTAAAAAGTCCTTTAAATTCTTGAAAATCTTTCTTAATGGAGTCAATTTATTGACATTTCAAATATCCTTTGAAATTTAAGAAAAAAAAAACAGGCAAATATTTTCTGTACTTTAAAATCTTAGGGTATTGGCCGTTTCCTCCCAAATTCATCACCTAACTTAAATGACCTCACTATTTCCACCTTTTATTAGCCTTGACGCTAATATGAGTCGCCTGACGTCAAGTGACCTGACAACAGGTCGCGTGAATATTAAGCTTGTTAATCTGACTTACGGACAGGATCTACAAATACTTTTTTTCACATATACGAATACTGTACAAATATGACATGAAATATTGAATACAGTACAAATGAATAACAGACGGGAATCGGCCAAGTAGGATTACACCTGACCCAAGCCAGATTGGGGATCTGGGAGAGCACAGTTGAATCGACGAGCCTGAATTTTCAAGTCCGTGGCCGTGCAGATTTTCGTTTAATTAATTTATTTTTAAACATTCGAGTTAAGCCAAGATCCCAGTTATAACGTTCCTAATTAACCAGGTACAGTGTATATCAAAAGTTTTTAATGCCATTTATTTTATTAACATTCACATGTGGTATTAAAAATTATTACTTTCATACTAAAAATATAAAAAATGACTTGTATCATTTATCATGTAATTCATAACTTTTAAAAGCAGTTATAAACACGTATAGAGATCACCCGTGGTTACTGTTCGCCATCGTATCAAAATACACGTTTCTCTACCGTCAGTCACCTAGTCTTTCATATGCCATGTCACTTATGTCAAGGAGTAGTGACACAACACTCATGCACATACTGTACTGTATAACATTTGAAAAAAAAAAAACCTGGTAGAAACTGGGTTGGGTGAACATTGTATAAAGTAAATAATTCTAAATACAAGATGTACTCTTTAGCTGCAAAGTTCGAATGATGTGTATTTCTTATATAGGATCAGAGAAAGTGTATGTGTGTTTGGTTCTGGTGAGATGTTTGTGATAGCGACAACGATTCGTCTTTGTTTTTTAAGATGTTTCATGTAAATGAGTGATACAGTTTGAGACAGCCTCTTATTGATTTAGAAATGTTTACCGGTAGTTAATGTTAAGCTGGAGTACAGGTAATACATGATAACCTGAATGATTAAGCTACATAACTTTGCTGATACAATGGTAACTAATAATTAGATGGTATTTTATAGAACTCGGCCAAAAGCATACATTCTTTTGTCCTTTGCTTAAGTTAATCATTTATGTTTATATAATACTGATCAAAGCACTGCCACTTATGGAAGCTTTAAATGTTATTTAGTATTTGCAGTGTGATGCAAATATACTGTATAGTTTAGATTCATATTTTTCTAAGTACTGTATATTGATAACTTTCTTCTCTGATGTCCTTCAGTTTCGAACAATCCTTCTAGTTCATGTTGAAATCCATATTATTTATACAATTTTCTTATTACTATGATGTTAATTCAAAATGCAAGAGTAAGAATTAAGATTATGCCATACTTTTAATGTTCATTAGTCCAATGTGAACATTTTGTCTCCGCAGGTAGGACAAGTTAATGAGATTGTCCGGTACTGTACACAACCACAGTGTGGGGCAGACATGAGGCTAATTATAATTATAATCTTGTAAAAGTAATTTCTTGCAATTATGGTGTATTCAAAATCGTAAGTTTAATAAAAATATTTTATATCTGAATTCACAATCTTATCATAATCAAACATTTTCAAAAACCTGTTTTCATATTGTAAAAATAATCTAGCTTCTATACTTTATAATAGTGATTGTAATCTTATCCACCCAAATAATATTCTTATTCTCTTATCATAATATGATTACAATTGCTTAAAAAATGAGGAGCTCGTTTCGAGTACTGTCACACCATCTGGTCACCGAAATATGCTAGAGACCATCAGTTGATTGAAAATATCCAGACAGGTACCTGCACTACAGCGCCTTAGTTTCCCAGAGAGTTTAGAACACCTGCAACTGCCTAGCTTACTGTATACTAGGCAGGCAAGGGTCGACTTAATAGAGATCTATAAATACCTCATAGGGCATTAGTCAAGTGTCCATATCTGGAGCTGTAAGATGTGTGAGCTCATTCAAGACCAGACTTAACCAACACTGGCGTGGGTACAGATACATCTTGGAACCACTACATGTCCAGTACTTTCCAACAGTGCATAACAGATGTAACTGTAGTCCCAAGTGGCTAACACGCTGATCAGTGGCGAAGAGGATAAAGTAAAGAATAGAAATTTACTTACAGGGATGCAGTTCTGTACATGTCAATGGACATTTAAATTTTCTTGCCACCTTGATTAGTCTCGTGTCAACGTGGCGTCATGTGACTTCACCAATGTAATCTGTAACCATATAATGTGCCTCAGTTCCTACTCGACCATCCCGACGGGTCTGGAAGCACATTATCAGTACTGCATTACAGAATACTCCTGTGGCCTGGCGCCATCTATTATTATCAGCCATTTTGATATACTGTACCCACTTCAGGTGGCAGCGTTAAAGCCAAAGCTGAATTTTTAAGCTACCTAATTTCTTACAGTTGTAATGAGGAATGTAAGTGTAACCCAGGGAATTCATAATCGTAATCAAAAGTAATGAAGCCAGTGTAATTACATGTGTAATGTAAAAAAAAAAAATCACTAATCATAATCCAAATTATTGATATATTTTAATCGACAATCGTATAATCGGCCATATGTCTGGTGTGTATGGTCCTAAGCCTTGATAGTAAGGATTATTATTTCCTCTGTGTTGTCACTATAAAATTAAGACGTTTCTGAAACCTTTGTACAATAGATAACTTTTTCCATACTCAAATAAAAATAATATATACGTTTCCAGTGTTTCATTTATTTCCTGCAGGTTTTTTAGGTTAAAATTCTGATTGTCCCGATTTCAAACATTCATGATGAAAAAAACTAAAAAGGGCTGCAGCAGAAACCAATATAGGATAATTAAGAGCTCGGGAAGGTTTATTTTCAACCAATAGAAGTTCGATATTAGCTTGCGTTGTGGCTTTGTAAACATAAGGGGTATTCAGTTTCTTCCTTCATATATAAATTGAGACCTTGATGGTGTGACTGTGGCATGGGTGGTGTGACTGGCATGGGTGATGTGACGAGCATATTGGTGTGACTGTGGTATGGGTAATGTGAATGAAGCATGGGACTTAAGCCATGGGTGGTGTGACAGGCATACTTTACTTAATCCTCTTCCCCACTGATCGGCTTGTTAACCGATTGGGCGGTTGGTCACTCACGCACTGTTGACAATTTCTGGGCATGTACTAGATTAATGAGGGGAACAGTGGGGGTAAATTTGTACAAGATATAAATGATGGTTTAAAGATAAAGGACCTTCTGTAGGCAAGGAGAGGATACATGAATGGATTAGTAATATTAAAAATGTAATCTGGCAGACTGGTGTACAGCTCAAGAGTTGTAAGAATCCACCCCTGGAAAGAACAGAAGTAGAGTTGAGCAGTGCCTACTCTCACAATGAAGAAATCATTACATGCCAGGACAGTTAAGGGCTATATGGGAATAAGATTAGTAATTTGCCTTAAAATAACATTGCATATGGTAAACGACGGTTCAGTTATGTCAAGTGGCAGGGCAGGGTGTGGATCTTATAAGACAGTACACAGAACAAAGAATTAATCAAAATTGGACTTCGTTGAACGTTTTCATCAACACAAGCTGAGTTATATGCAATGTTAGTAGGTTGGAAAATGTTGTAAAGAGGTATAAAGATGCATATTTTTTGTTGATAGTGAGGCAGCTTTGGATTACTGAGGTAAGTCAGTCTTTGGACACATTATTGGTTCATGTAGAAATTAGTAAATACAATAGGAAAAATAGCATAATGTTCAATTTGTATGGGTCCCTTCATGGGGATTGGTCTTAATGACAGTAGATATAATAGCAAAAAGAGCCACGGAAAAACGAGATCGACATAATATGTACTAAAACCATGAAGCAATTAAGGAGCAATTACGGAAAAATACAATCAATAGAAGATAATTTCAAAAGGAATGAAATATACGAGAAAAGTGAAACAATGAAACATTATATGTTCTCATGAACACAAAATTTACATATGGGAAAGATAGGAGTAGGTGGAAAATTCAGTGTATATGAGGTTAAGATTAGGATATAAATATTATTGGGAACTTGGAGCTGAGAAAGTGAACAGGATAAAAAAATAGAGTTTGTAGAACATCAGATCCCATACTGCCACATTATATACTGGAATGCCCATTGCTTAATGTATATAGAAATGCCTATAAATAATGTCTCCAAGCTAATAGAGTGGATGTTTGGAAATGGGAAAATAGATGAAATATTAAAAATATAGAAATTGCATCTAGAATATAGCTATGTATTATTTATATGAAATATTAGGGATTTATGTGAGTCCTAGAGGGACATTCCCGGACTGGGGTGAGGATGACTTATGTCCCCTTTGAGATGTATTAATGTTTTTTGTATTCAATAAACATATCAATCAATCAATCAATCATACAAAGCTTCGGAATGTATTTGTACGAACGCCAGTGCACTAATGTTGGTCAGGTCTGGTCTTGAATGACCTCGCATTCAGTGCCTTCACAGCGCTCTCTGGCAGATTGTTCCAAGTGTTCACATCTGTTCCCCCTACAAAGTTTACCCTGATAGTCTTCTGAACTGACGTGGCTTCTTCAACCTTAAGTTTTGACCTCAAATGGGGAGAGCATCAACCACCACCTCCAAGTAATTATATATATAATATATATAATATATATATATATATAATTATATATATATATATATATATATATATATATATATATATATATATATATATATATATATATATATATATATATTATATATATATATATATATATATATATATATATATATATATATATATATATATATATATATATATATAGTGCATCATTGGTGAAAGAAGAAAGTATATATATATATATATATATATATATATATATATATATATATATATATATATATATATATATATATATATGTTCATGTTTAGTTGTGTTATTTTTTGGGAAGGATGGTCATCATACGAGTACAGTAAATTACCTTGATTGCAAGATTTGCATGCCAGTCATCTAAAATTTACAGTACAGTAGAGTGTCATTCTTCAAGTACTAGTCATGGTAGTGTGTCACTTCTAGTACTAGTCATGGTAGTGTCACTTTTCTAGTACTGGTTATGGTAGTGTGTCATTCTTTTAGTACTAGTCATGGTAGTGTGTCATTCTTTTAGTATTGGCATGGTAGTGTGTCATTCTTTTAGTACTAGTCATGGTAGTGTGTCATTCTTTTAGTATTGGCATGGTAGTGTGTCATTCTTTTAGTACTAGTCATGGTAGTGTCACTTCTAGTACTGGTCATGGTAGTGTGTCACTTTTCTAGTACTGGTTATGGTAGTGTGTCATTCTTTTAGTACTACTCATGGTAGTGTCATTCTTTAGTATTGGCATGGTAGTGTGTCAATCTTTTAATTTAGGCATGGTAGTGTGTCATTCTTTTAGTATTGGCATGGTAGTGTGTCATTCTTTTAGTACTAGTCATGGTAGTGTGTCACTTCTAGTACTGGTCATGGTAGTGTGTCACTTTTCTAGTACTGGTTATGGTAGTGTCATTTTTTTAGACTGTTCTCAGGCTGTTGTGAAGGTGTGGTATTTTCCACGTCTAATTAGTATTCCTTAGGGTCAGTTAGGCTGGGGGAGGAACTGTCACCTTTCTACTCGCTTGTTGTTTGACATGGGTGCGGCTTCATTGACCTAACATACTTCTGATATCTTGTTAGGCAGTGTAGGGTGAAGCCTCCTTGTTAGGCAGTGTAGGGTGAAGCCTCCTTGTTAAGCAGTGTAGGGTGAAGCCTCCTTGTTAGGCAGTGTATGGTGAAGCCTCCTTGTTAAGCAGTGTAGGGTGAAGCCTCCTTGTTAGGCAGTGTATGGTGAAGCCTCCTTGTTAGGCAGTGTAGGGTGAAGCCTCCTTGTTAGGCAGTGTATGGTGAAGCCTCCTTGTTAGGCAGTGTATGGTGAAGCCTCCTTGTTAGGCAGTGTAGGGTGAAGCCTCTTTCTGTTAAAACAGTCGTGTGTTAGTTATCAAGGAAATAATTAAGACAAACATATTCAACAATTTGACTAAAGAGAATATATATTGCTTCAGTGGCCCAGTGGGTTTTGTAGGCTCATTAAACTATTAGTGTTTAGGAACAATGAGTTTTTCCGATAATTCGTGTACTGTATTTCATCTTTTAATTACCCCCAGAGCCCAGTGTGTGTGACTACTCTTTGTTTGCCTCCGGCTTCTAGTACCTCAATGGTTTGTTGAGTGAATATTCGTCAAAATTATTAATGCATGTAATCATTTAACAAGTAGATTTAAATTACAGCTTAAGAATAACCTCCAAAAATAGTGTTAGAATAGTTTTTTCTACCGAGACTCTAAGGAAACTAAATCCCTTCACCAAGCACCCGTAAATATTTCGTTTGAATTAATCTTCACTATATTAAGTTCGAGTTCTACGTATCAAGTTAATTTCCTTTTAAGGCACAGTCTTACTCTAATTCTGACGTACTGTACTGGTAATTTTCGTAATGTATCTCGAGTCAATCTGCTCGGTACATTCGCACATCAAATACCTGAGCATGTCTAACACTGCTCTAATAAGTGAGCATGTCTAACACTGATCTAATAAGTGAGCATGTCTAACACTGCTCTAATACCTGAGCATGTCTCAACACTGCTCTAATACCTGAGCATGTCTCAACACTGAGCTAATACCTGAGCATGTCTAACACTGCTCTAATACCTGAGCATGTCTCAACACTGCTTTCATACCTGAGCATGTCTAACTCCGCTCTAATAACTGAGCATGTTTAACAAGCATATCTAATATGTTTTAACACATGATAAAGATTTTCTCGTCACTCTCCTTTCTGAATTAAAATGAATGTTGTCAATATTTCCAAATCATTAGCATATTCTAAAGATTTATTTGTCTCTACTTGCAGAATGAACAGCGTCGAAAAAGCCAAGTCTGAGAAAATTTCCTCAGAGGTGTCTAACCTCTCCAGTATCAAGCTGGCAAAACCTCTTCGTGGAAATCGAAAAGAATCATGCGGCCATTCCACCGCTTGTGAGTGTAAACCGTCCACAGACACAGTCAGCTGCCGCCGCACATAAGCTCACAACCCTGAATACAGCATCGGGTTATTCACTACTCTGCGTAACCCTACTGCTGATGGTGACTCAGAGGGTAAAGTGTTTTCTAGTAAAGACATCGACAGAGAGACTAAGGTATTGATGGATTCTCCAGAAAAGGGATCTAGACCACCTATTCTGAATTCTTACACATCAGATCCGCTTTCTTCAGAGAAATGTCCGTCTCCTCGTCCATTTTCAGGAACAGGTTTGTCACTAATCTATTTTAGTTTACTTTATATTGATTATTCTCTTTTGTGTTGCTATACAATAATAGTGCATTAGTTGTATTTAAAGAACAATCCCGACGTGTAGATCTTGTCTTTGTTAGATATATTACGTGTCTATTGGTCTATACATTAAAAGTTTTTAAATAAATTCTTCATTATAATTAACATCAGGTTGACTGAAGGTGCAGAGTAATGAAGCCTTAGTTTGCACAGAGCTTTGGCCAAACTAACATTATTAGATATAGCTTCGAGATACTGTGCCTGCCATATATATAGGTAATATTAAATGTCAAATATCTCCATAACCACCACAACACTGTGTTACCACTAATCAATGGAAACGTATGGTAAAGACAATTAGTACACTGCCCTGGTCTTCAGCAAACAAGAAGCGGTAGTAAAGAACACCGTGGCCGGACAGATGGCCGAAGGGCATTTGGCCGACAGACATTGAGCCGACAGACATTTGGCCGAACGGACAATAGACCGAACAGACAATTAGCTGAACGGACATTTGGGCGAATGGACATATGGCCTTTTTTTTTCTTTGCAATGTATTTGCTTTATAAAATACAGGTTATTTTTTTTATGTGATACATTTGCATGATAGAAAATTCTTTTTTGCACATTTGTATAGGTTAGGTTAGGTTCGGCCATTTGTCCATTCGGCTAAATGTCCGTTCGGCCAAATGTCCGTCAGTGAAATGTCCGTCGATGAAATGTCTGTCAGCCAAGTGACCGGGAGCCAACGAACACAGGGACTTCATGTTGACTCTGCTCTTTCATTCATACGAAAATTTGAGATGATAATTTCTAACAACTAAATGACTCGAGTAGAAATCGGAAAAGTGTTAGCGTCAAATGTAACCACCAAGGAAGAGTCCCATTTACCAGAGAGTGAAGATATTTGAAGTAACACAATTTTTAGCTGCGTCGGAAAAATTCTCTGAGGGAGTTACACGGATGCCTAGTACAGGATATAAATAAATTTTGGTAGGGAGAGAGTCTACAAACTGGAAAAAAATACAGTAAAGATATGTGTCCTACCAAATATCCTTGTATGCCGTGGGTGGGTTTGAGGTGATGGCGCTATAGTGTAGTTCCGGGACAGAGACCATGAAATATCTACCGAGCAGGGGGAACGGCCAGGAATCTTTACATATGTAGAGTAAAATGCTGAAATGTTTCTGGTAAGGCTTTAGTTTTTAATGGTCTGTTCCTTTTTTCCCTGTACTGTACCGAGTTGAGAAGGTGAAGTGTCCTTACACCACACCCAGGTCACAGAAGACAACAATATACGTGTAGCTAATAAAAGTCTGATTCTAAACATGAGTCCAAGAATCAGGGAAGCTGTTTTGGTTAGAGATCCGATGAATTCTGCCATGGTAAGATATTAGATAATGGGTATGTAAAAAGAAATCGTGTGATGATAATGGTGATGTCAGCATTCACGTTAAATTAACGTTGTTGTTGTCTGCCACTGTAACTTATTTCGAGTAACTGAGCCGTTGGAGAGAAAAGTCAATGAAGGGTTTAATGGTCATAAAATATTTTGGGGTGTTTCACGCTGAGAGAAGATCATTAATGTGTAGTAAGGGCAGAGTTGAAGCTAACCCTGAAGGACCCCAGAACTGATAGTCGGAAGAAAAATACATTATCCAAATTATACACACACTGTAATATGTAAGACAAGAAAAAATTAAACTGACTAAAAAGGACGCCACAGGAGAATAATTTTACAAGTAAGGATTAATGCTAAACTGTCACAAGCTTTTGGCAGAGTAAAACCTACTGCATGTATTTCGCTGTTGCAAATTACAGTGGTGGATTAAATTTGTGTGTGAAATTAGAGAAGACCAGCAGTAGAAAACCAACCATGAAAGCCAAACTGCAGATCAGTAAGTTAATTTCTGTTACCATTCAATTTAAGGATATGGCCATTGATTCTTCGTTTGAGCCAGATGAAAACGACCAAAATTATCTTTATTTTTCTAAAGCCAAGTTTTGAGTTAAGACAGAAGTTCAGAAATTTAAAATATATCAGACGATCATATGTTGAGTACTAGCTGTACTACTTATTTTAAATAATTCGCTACAAGACCATGGTAGTCAGGATTAGGATCACAGCAGCTAACGCAACGGATTTTCATTATTATGTGAGTTAAACTGCTCTTACCTTGAGTTGTGGCCATCGTTTCAAAATGTCTTGCTATTAATCATAGGTCTATGAAGTTTTTTACTGAAGTAAAGTCGGTCTTTAAAAAGTAAAGGAACTGAGATTTATAAGTATTATAATCTTCCTTGTAGCCCTTGCTCCTGCCTGTACTACCTAGTTTGATCCCTGGTTCGTTACAGCCTGGTCACGAGGCTGCTTCTGGTAACTTGGGGCACGGGCACCCACCAGCTGCCATTTTTCATGCCTTACAGAATCAAAATTCTTAATTCATTACTACAGTAGACATAACTTTTATTATTGGAAAAACTATATATCAAGCAAAATAAAGAGAAATAGTACTAAACTATTGTTTTCCGCAGCATCACAGACACAGGATGACGGAGACTCGATACACAGCCAGAACAAACAACAATTGAATAATGTTGGCATTATACCAGGTGTGTCAGCACCCTTCACCAACAGCGTCCTCATCAACTGGAGTTGGCAGGTTTCACAGGGCATGGACTACCTCGTGAGCAGGAAGGTGGGTGTCCAATCCTCCAGAGAAAGAACTAGCAGAAACGAAATAATAAGCTTAGCAGTTGAAACAACTAAGCCAAAGAACAAGGATATTTATATCGATCATAATTTAGTGTTTATTTTATTGAATACTTTTGCATTTTCAGTGTAATATTTTCTTGGTACGTATTCAAGACCTATTAATAAATTCTCCTCACAACTCTAACATTTTATTTTATAAGAATACCCCAGGTGGGGCGTTAGACCGTCTTCTCTACCCATGACGAATGTAGGACAAAGGCCCCCATAGGACAAAAGCCTCTTAGGACAAATAATAATAAGAATTGTTTTAATTAATATTTTTATTCTTTACTTTTTACAGTTTATGAACACTTCTCTGGTGAGCAAAATTTTACATTTATTATAAGACTGCAATGCCTAACCTAAACTATTTCACACTTTAACTGAGAAGCTTTTGTCCTACTTTGCACTTTAACTGAGGGGATTTTGTCCTAGCTGTAACCATAACGGTAAAAAGTAGAATTAAATCATTTTTGTCCTTGTGATACCAAATGGTGTCGCCTGTTTGAAGATGACATACACTAAGAAAAAAATGAAAGACATCGACGCATGACTGCTACTTCGATTGAGGAGCCCCAGGGGAGAAAATGCCAGGATGGAAGAAATATATCACGAAGAAGGACGCCTGAAACTGAGGTAACACAACGGCATTACCTGCTTTAAGCTGTAGAAGACACCTGCACCGGCCAAGCTGAGGGGATAAGTACTGCACGTCTCGATGCCTATTACTGACGTAGGGAACAAATGGTCACTCTCCAGACATGCTTACATTCGAGAGACGATTTGACAAACATTAGACATATCAAGGTACCGTATACTATAAAGAGATCCCTGACCCTGAGTGTATGTCCTAATGTCTACTGGACTCTCCGATTAAGTATCAAATATCAGCACCCTGTAGGATCGTGATCTAGATACTAACACAGGGATGAAGTCTTAATACAGAATACAAATAATTATGCAATAAACGACTGACTTTCATTAAGAAATATAATTACAGATATCGTTAGTCAGGCGCTACTGTTTTTAGATCTGTTACAGTCAATCTCCTTACTACACAGATTAAGTGTTAATGTGACAGTGTTGAAGAGATTTGTTCTCTGGTAATAGTAGAGTTGTGGCTATTTTTGTCTGGGAGATTGTACGGTGTTCTTGTCACTCATCACCAACGTTAGTATTAGAGTATTTTTCTCGTAATAACTGATGCGTTGCAGGTTCTTCACGGGGACCTGGCGGCTCGTAACCTACTACTGGCTGACCACAACATCGTGAAAATAAGTGACTTTGGTCTATCAAGAGATGTATACAAGAAGGACGTGTACGTCAAGAAAGGAGACGTATGTATGCTGATGCTGGTTCTCTTGTGTTTATCTACCTGGCCAACTGTTAGCTTTACTCCTTTCATTTGTGTGTGAGGTGAATCATGGGGCATAGAATATCTCTCTCTCTCTCTCTCTCTCTCTCTCTCTTGAAAAAAGACGAAAGCGAAGGTGCTGCATTGTTTCCCTTTTTCTGTGTGATTATATATATATATATATATATATATATATATATATATATATATATATATATATATATATATATATATATATATATATATATATATATATATATTGTTACGACCGTGTCGTATTTTTCTATTTTTTTTATATAACATGCTTCCATGTTCCATAGTATTCCTGTAATGATGTGTTGTATTTACTATTATATAATCTAGTCACCTTACCCTGTGCTGTTAAGGTTTTAACTGTTATTATTTGTTCTCTAACTACCATCTGCATCGTTAAACGACCCACCGGCGGGTCGCGTGGCGGGAACCGACCTTATATATAGGACCCACCAACTGACGGAGTTAGTTCAGTCCTCTTGTCATACAGTTCACATGCATCTTAAAACGCCTTACAATAAACGTCTTAAATTTGACAATCACTTACGGCATTTCAAAATTTCCGTCTCGGCTTTCAGTTCATGGAACACCTAATAAATTCTCAAACAAACTGAAGAACTTACTAATCTGCTTTATTTAGAAGCGCAGTCTGTAATTGAATTTCCTTTCGCTACAATGAAAGAACAACCAATGGCCGAGACATACTGTAAATCTGCTTTCAAGATTTTATTTGGAAAATCTTCTTGTGGGGAAATTTCATTCGTGGATCTGGGTTCAGACTCACAAGACCTCGTGTAATGAACGTCACTCTGTAGGTAGACACGAGATGTGGAATCCTAAAAAAAATGATGTCTGATTTCCGAAGTTGATAAGAGAAAAACGTGTCGCATTGAAATATTGAATTTGTAAAATAAATACCAATGCTTTTCATATTGAGGTTTTTATTGTTTGTTTTCCCAAAATAAAGATAGTCTTTTTTTTACTTTTTCATTTATCTTTTTCAATTCAAGATAATGCTTCAGCATTCATGACTCGGAGAGATATGAAGGGTGGTGACTCTTAATATGCTCACCTGGGAGTGAGTAATATTCTATTCCAGGAGAGGATCAGGTGCCATAATTGAACATTGCTACTCTATTTACCTGTAGAACTATCGTTATATGTGTGTGTTACATACCAATGGCCTCGTATATCAAAATAAGGAAAAATAACCCCAAAGATATTAAAATGTTTTATTGGTGTTACACAACCAGGAGAAAAACTCTCTTAGTCATCAGTGCTGGAAGGTAAAAATAAACGGATTGTAATAATACATGAAATGAATTATTGTTCAGTGTCTTTTCTGCCATGACAAAATATAAATTGATGACACTTTTTAAAAATCGTGGTTAGTGAAGCTTCTAAAACAACGTGAAGGAAAAGCATTTTTATGGGTACCGCAAAATATACTAGAGAATATTACTATTATCCATGTGAACATATATGAAGTATACTGGACACATAATTATATTGTGTGAAGAAGAAACCAATACATTAATCCAGAATATGATATACGAAGATGTAATTTAAAACTAAAGTAACTCAACACATTTAAAATAAAATTATAATAAGAGTGTGATCAGTAAGCACTACAAAAACGCTAGGTGAGAATATCAGATGCATCTGAGAGGAAATTTTTAATAAACAACAAAATGACAGCTAACAACAAGTAAACGAATAGACATGGCAACACCAATAATACATAGGGAACAGTCATTTATGAGAATTAGGCAATGTGACTGAAGTAGACAAAAACATAATGATTAGAAACATACCTAGAATCATTTGTTTTTCAGGCGACACGAACCAGTCATAGCTAACCTTAGGTCAGGTTAAAAAGTGTGTGTGGTTCCTGAACACCCTCGAGTGCTTACAAAGAAAGCCGTAGTTGGGTATATTTATTGCCTCTAAAACTGAAATTAAATCATCGTTTCAAGCAAATTCTAATTTCCCGCTCATGAAGTTGATGTTTGGTTGGTTTCGAGGAATGAAATGACGGGTGTAAGAACTAAAGTATTCTTTACCGAAATCGTGTTATGTGCACGTGTCCTGCACGCGCAAGCGTCCAAATTATATTGTGATAGCTAACTGTGAGCACAGGTATCACACTAAGTAGTGGATGTTTTCAGATGAAACATGGAAGGTAAGTACGGTCTGGGCCTTATGTTTACACCACGTGGTGGCAATATTCTGTTCTGTCAACAAAGTCTTGGGAACTACTAATCAAAATGAAACTTCACGAAAATCAACCAATGACTACCCACACCCAATTTTCATGCTCTCTCCTCGGCCAATGATAATTGTTTTTGATAAATCGTGTTACGATAATCCTCCATAAATGTTTGAATATACAGTCGATGACACGTTGGTCACTGGTGGGCCGGCCATTGGCCAGTATTCTCATGTGTTGTCTGTGGGTGTAATGTGCGTTACTCTCTGTAGTCGTTGCGTCATTAGACACGTCTGATAGTGAAGATCAGTTTGACAATTAGTCAGAAATTGATAATAATCTTTCGGGTGACTATTTAAAGGAATATGACAGTGATTATGATCCTGAAAAGGGGATTGATATTAGTGAAGACGGTGGTAGTGGCAGCAACAGCCAGCAGTGGTTCACAACCTCCTCATCGGCACCTCCGCTCAAGGTTACCGGCTCGTAGCAGATTCATTTGCAGACATAAAAGAGCAGACAGTTTTTTTGCAAGAACTCGACATCACTCACAAGGTAAATAAACTTAGCATTACTCTGTGCATGCTATAATTTTCATACCTAACTTCCTAGGTCGTTTGCAAAGGAAACATCATCGAAGAAAAGTGTCAGAATTGTCTAAGCTATTGTTTGCAAATAATAAAATAACCGAGATTCGGTATTGGGCAACAAATGCAATAATATCTGCTCTAGTAGTTTTCTCTGATTCTGAATTCACGATAGCTCGGTAATGGGTAAAATGCAGGAAAAGTGTCTTAGAACGAATCCGTCTTGTTTTTGCCTGAAATTATCATTATACACAAAATTACTCTATATCTAGTTATATCCTCTCTTATAAATTGAGCCAATTTGTTGTGTTTATGTGATCGTAGATTTATAAAAAAAATAACAGAATAAACAGTGTGGGTGCAGGTATAATTACAACCGCCTCCCCTTTGCACTGTGCAGTCTGGTGGAAGTGTGGTATGAGGGGGATAAATTTGTTTATATTGGGAGGAGTGCTGTAAAGAGGTTAAATTTAAATATTTTTATTTTTTCTTGTGAGAAAAAATGAAAGGTATATGTTAAGCTCCTTTTGAAAATATATTATCTGAGACTCAAACTATTTTTTAACGTGGTCTACCTTACCAAAAACTACGCAAGGGTCGTTACGTTTCGATAGGTTTTGATCGATTATCTCTAGAGAAAAGAAATTAGAGTAGTTTAGAGGTACAGTTGTCAGTTGGTGATTTTCTGAAAGTGACCTTCTTGGCCGAAGACCTGTGAGTGTTGGTCAGGAGAGTAAGACACAATAGTTCACAAGTTTTGAAGATGAAACTTTAAGTATCGTAGATTATAAGAAAAAATCCCAAAGGGCGCTGTAATGATGTAAGGCTTAACCTTCTAAACAAACTTGTTTCGTAAATATTGATTATAGTTATAATTGCTGTAATGTCACCAGTACTGGGGATGATTAGAATTATTAATAGATAACATTATAAGCAAGTTTAGCAATGCAGATTAATATCATCAGTCAGCTTGGCAGTATCTGGCATGCACAGCCTCTTCCACTTTCAACTGTTACAATCAGTGTTGTCCGTGTGGTGTGAACGCCGGGTGTATCGACTCTTGAATTCGAAACATTTACCAACTAGGAAAAGAGTGAGCAGCGGGTTAAACGGGGGTTGAGAAGGGTCAGAGTTCGAGGATTCAGTTCTAGGAGTGCAGGTGGAGACAACTAGGGGATCTGTTATCATATGCACGATGTACCTACCTCCCAGACGTCCTTACTTACCCGAACAAGACCTAAACCAGTTGCTACGCCACAGAAAACCAACATACATCATAGGGGACTTAAATGCGCGCCACGCCATACTCGGACACGGTAATGAGAACAACGTCGGTGTGGCGCTGTATGACAACATCAGAAGGGGAAAACTGCAACACCTCGGGCCAGATTTCCCGACATTGATCAGACGTGCCAGTGCCACAACACCCGACATAATCCTCTCTAACAACGAGGCCGTCCTGAACAGGCACGTTACCGCCGGACCCATCAGTACCAGCGATCACCTGCCAGTCGTCGTGACGCTCTCATCCAATCCCATTATGATACCCGCCAACATCAGGTCAAACCTCAAACGGGCAGACTGGGACTCTTTCAAGGAGTCTCTCAGTCTCAAGCAGGGGAGAAACCTGGAAGAAGCCAGCCCTAATGACATCGACGACGCGGTCGAACAATGGTATAAGGATGTGAAGACGGAGATGGACAACAACATCCCGACCACCAGTTACAGGACCATTCCCCATCCTCACACTAGTCACCAGCTGAGGCAGCTCAGTGTCCAGTACACTCACGTGAGACAGCTAGCCAGTATCCGCGGGTGGACGCAGGAGCTGAGAGACCGGTACCGAGAGCTACAGACGGACATCCAGCACGAGAGCAAACGTCTACATGAACAAAAGTGGGCCGCCTTGGTGTGGGAGGCAGCCAACAATTACCGCGATTCTGCTGCATTCTGGAAAGGGATCAAGCGACTGATGGGTTCCACCTCTAGCACGGTCCCTTACCTGCTCGACCAAAACAACGTAAAAATATTCGAGGAAGAAAACCAAGAACAACTACATCGGCGATATTTACGAAAGATCTTTACCATTAGTGAACAGGAAAACGAGGGCTTCGACAGGGACTTTGAGGAGGACATTTTAGGTCAGTTGCAGGACCATCAGCACCTGCTCCAGCCGCTCCCACGGACTGACTTCACCAGACTGGTGGACGGAAGCTACCTGACGGAACGCATTGTTCCTGCAGATGTGTCAGCCGTCATAAAAGGGTTTAAAAACAAATCACCTGGTCAAAGTCACATTAACAAGAAGATCCTGGCTCAACTCCCCGGCAACATGATAGAGAGGCTTGCTCATATATGCAACGCCTGCCTCGCCTCTGGATACTTCCCTAAGATGTTCAAAATCGCCGTTATTCGCCTCATACCAAAAGCAGGGAAGCCTCCAAACAAAGTCGAAAACTTTCGACCAATATCGCTGCTAGAGGTACCTGCCAAAATCTTCGAAAAAATAGTCAACAAGCGATTGCGGATGTATCTGGAGGACGAAGACGTGCATAATCCCCGCCAGTTCGGCTTCCGCCAGTCCCGAGGCACATCCACCGCCATAGCTCAGGCCTACGAGCAGATCGCCAATGCCATGACTGGCCGCCTACAGTGCAATATAGTACTGAGGGACGTCAGCAAGGCGTTTGACAAAGTTTGGCACGCAGGACTGCAGTATAAGATCATACAACTGGGGCTACCCGAAAATCTGACTCGCCTGCTGTGCAACTTCATTACGGACCGCAGAGCCAAAATTAAGATGCAAGAACATTTTGGAGAAGAATTCTCACTATCGAGCGGCGTGCCTCAGGGCTCTTGTCTCTCACCAACCCTTTACACACTCTACACGGCTGACCTGCCACCCCCAATCGTCGGCAGCGAGTACGTCATGTATGCAGACGATGTAACACAGATCGTCACCTGCCCAGGAAGGTCCACGGCAAGGATGGCGCGACTCACTGCTCGGGCAATAGAGGAGATCTCGGAGTATGAAAATAAATGGAAAATAAAAACAAACAAAACGAAATTTGAGGTCATACCCATAGCCAAATTCAAGCCGGCCCCATTGATGATCGACGACGAAGAGATTGAGTACTCTAAACAAGGCAGGTTGCTCGGCCTCATCATTTCTCGGACGGGCATCATTCCCCACGTGAAGGACAGACTAAATAAAGCCAAAGTCGCCGCAGCCAAATTAAAACGTTTTAAATTGATGCCTGAGAAGAT